CGGCTTTGCTACTTTCACTCCTTGAGGTGACTTGTCAGGTCCACCCCATGTCGCTGGCCCCCGGACATTTAAAGGGAACTGGCGCGACGCAGCAGTCGGAGAGGAGTGGGCACGGAGCTCGCCGGGTCCGGGAGACCGACCCGAGCGAGACGAGCTTGGGGAGCAGTGGAGGGAGGTAGTGGAGGATGGAGCCCTAGACGTGCCGCCCGCCAAGACGGCCGAGCAGGGACAGCCTTGAGGATTCTGAGGGCTGACCTTGAAGGACCATTGAGAGCATGGGGGAGGCTAAGCAGAGACTGGGCCCGGAAGGGAGTGAGGTCGGGGGTAGTTGGAAGGAGTGCTTGAGAAAGTGTAAACAGGTGGTCCCAGGCTCGCTGAGCTGCCGACTTGGCCGGCACAGTGTTTGGGAAACTTTTTTGAATCTGTTGCCAAAGTTTTTTTTTTTTAATTGGAAGAGCTCCACAAAAATGGGAAAGCTGGTAACATGGTCATGAATTTCCTTAAGACGCCATCAGTTGGAACTGGGTGATGGTTGCCCCTCAAACTTCCCCCTCTGCCAACACTTCCCTGGCGCAGCAGTCCTCTACCCATACCTTTCTGTCAAAACTGAGAAAAAATAGAAATAAAGAAGGCTGAAGATTACTCTTTATAAATGTCCTCGAGAACTATAGTAGCTTTTTGTTCACCCTTTGCAAGTAAAAAGGGTAGGTCGTTCCACTACTAACACACAAAAAAGAAGGCTGAAAGGATTTCAGGAAAGGATTTTCTCATGGCCAGACCAACTTCACACAGACATTTACATTGGTGTTCTTGGGCGGATTTGGGGATGAACATGACCGGTTCAGAGTACATTGAAGATTAATTCTGGAGCCTGTGTTGTTTAGATACATGCATTGTATGTGTACAAATAATACACTGTACATACATATCTATTTATCTAGCGCTGTAAAGAACATCCTCACAAGTGAACCCATGAGCAACGTAGAGAATCTTTTAAGGCAAAAAAATTTTTTTCACCGATCCTCAATGCTATTACCCAGATATATTCAAACATGAACTTGTTAGCCACATAGTTTCTTTGCTTATACATAAGCTGTGATATAGCCATAAACAAAAATAAAAGCACAAAATAAACAGTTACTGCTACAGTAAATTCAAATTAACAACCTCAATTTAATGTGACACATCTATAGTCTGCACCAAATCGAGGCTCTCCATGTGAATGTGGTGCTGATTAACTGTTATAGCTCAGATCCTCTTGGGTTTGGTCAAACCAACCAGCTATGGCCTATATGAAAACTGAATTGGGCCATTTTTCTCTTGTTCTCATTACTGTAGATTTTGCTGTCACTTTGCCCCTCACGGTGTAGGTCAACAATCAGATGTTGAATTTGCCAGTATAATTTTGTCATATTTCTTGATTTCATTGTATTAAAAAACACAAACCCAATTGGTTTGCCTTATAATAACTGCTTATTTAAAATTTGTAAGAATTATCACAATGAAGCCAGAAAATTGAAATACTTCACAAGGTGAACTCTTAAGATTCCCAAGTATATTTCTGTGAACTTTTAAGGATCCAAAAGTTCCCTTTGGAGGGGTGGGGGTGGGCGGATGTCCCCTTTAGAGAAGAATTCAGTTCATTAGTGGTAGTGGGATGGTAGCTATATTGTATTCCCATTGCCATCCCATGGCAGACATGGTTAATTGATTAAACAGACATCACTAATCCATTCTGGCACTCCCCTCTGAACCTCAGTTGGGCTCAAGTCCTCTACCTAACTAATCACAGCAGATCCTTCAGATTGGAAGTTAATCATTTGTAAAGTAAGTAGAGAGAGTAAGATTATGGCTTGTTCTTCACTCTAGCATTATAGATTCAGCCTTATCAAGAAGCATTGAGAGATTTTTTTGAGAAAGGAGTGCTAGAGGATTCATTCAATGGTGTTCCCTGTGGTAGTAAGGAGAGTGAGGACAGTGGAGGCCACAATGCCTCGGAAGAGGTTATAGTCACTTGGCAGTATTTGAGTGGCCACTCTGTGGTGAATAGTGTGTTTGTAGGAGTCAGGGATGAAGATATGGTGCCTCTTTTTATAACTCAACATGTTATTTATTGAATTGCTAATGTGTGCTGAAGTTGTGATGGGCATTAGAGATAAAGTAGTCTGAAAGACAGTTTCCTCTTGAGTTTTAGTATTTGTGGGGAAGACATTCATTTAACAAGTAGAACATGTTCCAGGGAAGTAGATGACTGGTTGTATGTGGTAGGGAGTTTACCTCTAGGGGCCTAAAAGATGAGTGGGAGTGGGAACAGTGTTTAAGGGAATACATTTGTGTGTCTAGTACAGGAGACTATGTCAGACACAGAGCACAGACATTTTAGCAAGGGAACAAGGAGGGTGATTTGGAATAAAGCAGGAGAGGTAAGCTTCACAGGGGTCAGGTTATTGAGTCAGGACTTGGGATTTGATCTTAAGGACACTGGAAAGTCATTGTTGAGTTGAACCAGGAGAGATTTGCATTTAAAAAAATTCTTCTTGCTACAAAGTGGATAGAATGGAGGAGCAGCAGCAGAGAAATAGTTCTGAGGCTCTAATACTCTAGGAAAGGTGATGGCTGGCATCCACTAGTGTGGGCAATGAGGAGGCAGACAGGTAAACAAATCGATCCTTTGGACGTTAAAAGAACCAGATTTGTGAATGGTTGAAAGGGTTGAGGGGAGGGGAGGGCTCAGGGAAGTCAGCTATAAGGCTAAAGCCATTTAGGATAAGATGCGTTTGAGGTGCCTATGAGGCATTTAAAAGGAGCCTTGGTGGCAAAGTGGGTTTATTGGGCTGCTGACTGTAAGGTCAGCAGTTTGAAATCACCAGCTGTTCCTAGGAAGAAAGGAGAAGCTTTCTACTCCTGTAAAGAGTTGCGGTCTCGGAAATCCACAAAGGTAGTTCAACTGTGTCCTACAGAGTCACTGTGAGTCGGAATAAACTCGTTGCCAGTGAGTTTTTAGAGTGAGATTTAATTCTTGGTTGTTTATATGGTCCTGGAGCTCAGGTGGGAAGATTGGGCTACTGTTATAAACTTGGAAAGGTTTGGTGTATATAGCCAATGGTGGAGATCCAGCTGCTTCGGAAAAATTTATAGAAAAGAGATTGCAAACTGCTGCCCTGCATTCCTTATTTGATTCTCTGATATATATATATGTATAAAATTTATTATTATATATAAAATTTTGGACCCAGATTGTGTTACTTAAAAATGAGAGTTAAAAAAAAAAACGAGGGCCAACAATGCATATTTAGATTTAACATTAAAATCTTGACTCTTGCTTCCTTTGAGACATCCGTCAGCAGTGACCCCATATTTTGCCTCGATCCCCACCATTCCCCCTCCCTATGGTGTTCTTCACAGCTAGTGTACCTCATTTCACATATCTGCCTTACTTGGCACCTACAGATGTTTGAGTTTTAACCCTGTTGTAGAGCGACGTGTAGAGAGCCTAGATAAGCTGTGGTTGCTCTACCTCTTAAAGGGGCTGTAGAGGAGAAAAAGCCAACACACAAGACTGTAGCCAGAAAGAAGAAAAGCCAGGGGAGTTATTGTGAAAAGGAGGGAGTCTCAATCAGCTGAACCTGATACTGCTGACTTAGTCTAGCATAAGACCTTGTCCTTTGGTCTAGCCCTATGGAGGCCATTGGTATCCGTGGTGAGAGTAGCTGCATTCAAAAATGCTAGATGGAAGGTAGGTTGCAAAGCACAGAGGAGCGAATGGGAGGAAATGGTGACAGGCTGGAAACTTGTTCAAGAAGTGTGACTATGAAGAACAACTTTGGGTGCTGAGAAACCATCGTATAAACTCATCACATAACCCTGGAGCATTAATTTGTTCAGACTATTTGGAGGAAGCCATCATTTTTATATTAAAACAGGCAATGCTAGGGTAAGTCAAAAGTATTGCTATAAAGTCACAGCAACATTTGTTAAACAAAAGTATCAAAAATGTGAAGCTGTTCTAGCCATATCTTCCATATGCCATCCTTTTTTTTTTCCAACTCAGTGTCTTTATTTAAAAAAAAATCAGTTTATTAGGGGCTCATACAACTCTTAGCACAATCCATCCATACATCAATCGTGTAAAGCACATTTTACATTCATTGCCCTCATCATTCTCAAAACATTTGCTCCCCACTTAAGCCCCTGGCATCAGATCCTCATTTTTTTCCCTCCCTCCCCACTGTCCCCACCCTCATGAACCCTTGATAATTTATAAATTATTATTTTGTCATATCTTGCCCTGTCCCATGTCTCCCTTCACCCACTTTTCTGTTGTCTGTTCCCCAGGGAGGAGGTCACATGTAGATCCTTGTAATCGGTTCCCTCTTTCCAACCGACTTTCCCTCTCCCTTCCCAGTATCGCCACTCACACCACTAGTCCTGAAGGGATTATCCGCCCTGGACTCCCGGTGTTTCCAGTTCCTATATATACCAGTGTACATCCTCTGGTCTAGCCAGACTTGCAAGGTAGAATTGGGATCATGATAGGGAGTGGGGGCGGGGGAGGAAGCATTTAGGAACTAGAGGAAAGTTGTATTTTTCATCATTACTATATCGCACCCTCACTGGCCCTTCTCCCTGGCCATCCTTCTGAAGGCAATATTTCCATCTCCTGACCTTTCCCTGAAGAATACTGTATTCTTCAGCCTGCACCACACGGAAACAGCAATTTGGCATCCTTGAGGGTCTTAAATCTTGTTCCTTTGAAATATTTCTTGTTGTGTGTCAAGAACAATGGATAAGGTTTTCCAATGGATTTTCCTAGGACACCCCTTGCTAGCCTTGAGCTGGTACAGGGGAGTTTGGGGGAAGGAGGAAGGTTTCCTTTGCACTTTTCAGCCCTGCTCAATAATGCACTTGCAGTTTTTTAAACCTTGTCCTAATGAGTCCTCATAATTACTATGTGTCATTGGGAAAATCTATCAAGATTGCCTCTGGAATTCTACCACCACCACCACCCCCCACAGACAAACAACAGCGACAGCAAAACAATGTTTCCCATTACCTTCCAAGCTGACTCTACCACCCGTAGTTTAAGTGGCCCAACAGCTCTCCTCCAAAGTCACTATTCTGATGGAACCTAATTTTGAAGTCACCCTAATAAGTAGAGAGAATTTGTCTGCAGCCACCTATCGATTACAGAGACCTGTTTAAACATGTTTTATCTGGAATAAAGCCATGCATGCAAAGAGCTACAGTCTCAGAAACCCACAGAGGCAGTTTTACCCTGTCTTAGAGAATCACTATGAGTCGGAATCGACTCGATGGCAGTGCATTTGGTTTTGGTTTTGTTTATGTATATTTTGGAGTGGTGAGGCCTTTGATAAAGGAGTAGAGAAAGAATTAGATGGGGGCAAAATATTAAGAATTGTCTCTTCACCAGGCACTGTGCATGTATTACCTTGTGGAATCTTCTTAGTGCCCTCGGAGAATTTAGTGTAGTCTTCATTTTGATGGACTAGCTGATGGTGGCAGAGCTGGGCATGTGTATAAGCGCAGCAGCCACTTTTCATTTCCATCTGGATATCCAGTTGTGCCAGTAGCATTTGTTGAAATGCTTTCCATATTGAATTGCTGCAACAACCTTGTCAAACATCAAGTGACCCTCTATGAGTGGTGTGTCTTCTGTCTTATTCATTTATATATTTTTCTTGATTGCTATAGCTTTCTGGTAAGTCTCAAAGTCAGTAAACGTAACTGTTTCAACTTTGCTTTTCAAAAATATGTCGTAGACAATTTTGGGTCATTTGCCCATTCATATGCATTTTAGGACTGTCTTGTCCATTTTTATTTTAAAAGCCTGCTGGGAATTTGATTGGGGTCATGTTGAATCCTCAGAGTACTTTTAAAAAAAGCAATTAGTAAGACTTGGTTCTCATTTCACCTGGACATTGAAGGAAATTCCACTAAAGTATATGACAGAGGATGGTAGGCCAACGTTTGCTGTCTCAAATTCCAGGGTTAGGCAAGTAAAAAAAATAACAACAATGGGTGGAGGGGCCTAGAATGAAATGGTAATTGGCAGCTGATCCTGGGCAGTAGTTGCCAGTGACAGGAGGACTTGGGTAAATAGGAAGGCCTAAACCCTGTCTCTGGAGGTAGGCATGTCTCCACTCTGCCTTTGGGGCCATGCAAGGATATGGGTTCAGTGTTGCCAAATCTTGCAATCAAAAGAGGTTGGGAATCTAGATTTGTATGCAGTCTCCTAGGTTCAAAATTACAATTTAAAACATGGTGTGGGTCAGACATGGTGTGGGCCAGGGGCTGCCAGGTTGTTTCATCAGCTATCACCTGGAAGGTGCTGAAAGCCAGTTAAGATTCCATCTGGCCAATCATTCTAAATTTAAAAGGGGGGGGGGGCGCGGGGAGATAGTACAAGGTTTTATTTAAGAAGCACCCTAAAGAAAAAAGAAAGCACCTGAGAATATCAGCAATAATAAGGTCTTGGGAAGTTTTGAAGCACTTAAATTTTATTCATCGCTATCATGTCTGTTGTTTCTTATAATCCTTATACCAAGTACATCATGTTTGTGAAGTAGACATCAGAGTAATGGGAGCCCTGGTTACAAACCCATGTCCTCTGATAACAAATCTGATGTTCTTGTGACTCTAACAGTATTTGAAGGCCCTGGTAAAAGGACTCTGGGATCGAGAGCAGATATAGGGACTGTTAGGACATTAAACTAGCTAGATTTAGAATTTACCCTAGTTGAAGTATGAAAGCTTATGGGCTAAGAACTTGTCAGAACTTTCTGAAAGCAGAAAGCTTCGCACATACTCATCTGAGTAAGTCAGTGCCTAGCACAAGGACTTGACACTAAGTTTAAAAAAATGAATAAAAAGATTGATGGGAGAAGTAAGAAAAGACTTTAGATCGGAGCAATGTGAAGAAGAGATGGGAATCGACCAGAGCCTGCACGCCGTCCATCCCCGCGTCCAGCGCCTGCGCCCCGCCACTGTTGCCGCCATGCCAAGAGAAAGGCTGAAGGGGATGCTGAGGGAGATAAAGCCAAGGTGAAGGATGAACCCCAGAGGAGGGCAGCAAGGTTATCTGCTAAAGCTGCTCCTCCAAAACCAGAACCTAAGCCTGAAAGGGCCTCTGCCAAGAAGGGAGAGAAGGTGCCCAAAGGGAAAAAGGGGACAGCTGATGCTGCCAAGGACGGGAACACCCAGCAGAAAATGGAGACACCAACACAGACCAGGCACAGAGAGCTGAAGGTGCTGGAGATGCCAAGTGAAGGGTGTGCATTTTTGATAGCTGTGTACTTCTGGTAACTGTACAGTTTTAAAACCTATTTTTTAATCAAGTTTTATAAAATGCAGACTTTTTTTAATTATTAAAAGCTTTAAACAGAATTTTTTTAAGGAAAAAAAAAAGTTTAAAACATCAAGGTGACCCATAATTTTGTCTAGAGTATTTCAAGGTTAAAGTGTCAAGTGTTTTGTTAAAGTGTTTTTAGATCGAAGATTGAGAGACTTCAGCCACTGCCTCCTCCTATCTGGTTCTCAGATCTGGGTTTTGATTAATGGATGATAATCATATCACAGTGCAATATGTATGAGAAATCAAACACTAGGTATAAGAAAGTTAAAGCAGCCAAAAGAATGCTTATGTTTCTACAACTTCCAAAGACATACATCATTATCTTTTGCAGATGCATCATTGAAATGTGACATGTCTTGGGTTTCATTGAGCTGAGGGCAGGGGATGGCAGAGGGCATTAAAGATAAACTAAGATTGAACACATGTTGATAATTGTTAAACCTGGGTGGCTAGGTGGCGTGGTATTAGTCTCTTGTATAGATTTGAAATTTTTCATAATATAAAGTAAATACAAAACAGAATAAAAAAGCTTCATAGGCACAACAAGGCTATTGGTTAACCAAACTTCATTTTTCTCTGACCGTGTAGTAGTATAATTGCCAAGAGAGAAACAGAACCAGGGAACAGAGCACGGTGGGATAGGAGGATTGGCTCTGAGTAAGACAGTCATGATTCGGACTCCTGCTGTGATCTTGGACAAGTAACTGAACTTCTTGAGTCTGGGTCTCCCAAGTTTTTAGAAGCAGAACAACACTGTCTCCTTTGCATGGTTGGCGAAAGGGTTAGGGATGAATTGTGTAAAACTACTTAGGACAGCACCTGGCCCATGTTAGGAGTTCAGATCTGATAGGTTTGGTGTTTGGGGTTTGTTTGTATTTGTATTAGACATTGACAGAGAATAATAAAAGGATAACAGCCTGCCTTAGGGTACCCCTCAATAACTTTCTTCTTCTCCGTGTGAATTATAAGTGCCAAGGGTTATATAACCACAGAACCAATTTATTATTTTAGAAATAATTCTCAAAGACCAGAACAGACCACTTGAGGGTATACAAGATCTGTAACCAGTTTACTGCCGTTTAAAAATGAAGTAAGGAGGATGTTACAGAAAAAAAGGCATGTTAAACCAGTGGGATGCCATTTTATACTGCTAAATTGGCCTCCTTCCTCTCATGATACTCAGTGCTAGTATGCTTTTGGTGAAACTTTTCTCATATGCAAATTGGCATACCTTTTAGGAAAGTGTATTTGGCAGAGTGTTATCAAGAGCTGTGACTTAGTAATCACTCTTTGGAATGTGTTCTAAGGAAATAATTTAGAAGAAGAAAACCTAATGTTGCCATTAAAATGATTGTGTTTGTGATATAAGCATGCAAGATCCTATCTGTGTTCTGATCGCAGCTGTCCAATTATTACTCGTGAATGTACATGGAGAAAGGAAAACAGTTAATAAATTAGGGTATTAGATAGTCATACTCACTCTCTGCCATTAAGGCGATGCCGACTCATAGTGGCCCTATAGGACGTGGTAAAACTGCCCTCTGTGAGTGTACGGCTGGTGGTTTTGAAATGTTGACTTTGCAGTTAGCTGCCCAACTCATAACCACTGCATGCCACCAGGGCCCTCATGGTAGTTAGTGGCTTAGTTTTTCTTTAAGTGACCCTTTTTTCCCCAGTTAAAGATGAGCCTGCTTGTCTACTACATATCCACACTCAATATCTTGTAAAACTAACTCACTGTCAAGATATGAGCCACTTGGAATATGGCTAGGTAGGGTCCCCCCCCCCCCCCAGTAGAGTTATTAAAGCCCAGAAAGCTCCAGGAACTGGAAGAAAGGAAATTGAAAGTCAGGCTTCAACTTTTGCACCATTTTCAGTACTGAATACTACACATTGATGCTTCTGCCAGATCTTTTCTGTCATCTCTCAACACCCATTTCTTTTCTTCCCAATTTTCAGGTTCAATTTCAGAAGCTTCAGCAGCTACGCCTTACCCAGTATCACGGCGGGTCCTTACCAAATGTCAGCCAGCTGCGGAGCAGTGTGTCGGAGTTTCAGGTACCTCAGACAATCAGTTTCTTCAAGCTGATTGGAAATATACAAAGATACCATGTTTAGCACAAAGAAATAGACATCTGTAGTTTAGAGGTTGGGGTAATTGGCTCCAGGAGAGTAAGTAGTCTTCTGGGGAGTCTCAGTATTTGCTTTCACAGTTTCTGTGGCATAAGATAATGTTGTTTTTACAAATGATCAAAAGTAGCATTCCCCAGCAGAAATATAATGTGAGCCACTGATGTAGTTTAAAAATCACCAGGAGACATATTCAACAAAGTAGAAAGAATTAACATGGAAAGTTAATTTTAATAGTACTATTTATTTAAAATATTATTTCAACATGAATTCAATAAAAAATTGACATAATTGATAGAGTTAAATATTTTTTGGTGTAGTATGGTATCTTTTGTGTATTTTATACTTAAATACATCTCAGTTATGACTAGCCACATTTCTAGTATATCTAAAATATTATTTCAACCTGAAATCAACAAAAAAATTAATGAGATGTTATATACATTTTTGGTGTTAAACCTTTGTATATGTTATACTTAAGCACTTGCCTTTATGTGACTAGTGGTCCCCATCCTGGTAAGCACAAGCCTAAGGTATAGATATTGCATACAGATTAGGGTAATGCCATGGGGGTATTACTCAGAGCAGCAAAGAGCCTTGCAGAAAGCAATGTGGAATTGGTATTTCACACTTTGACATATGGTACTATTGTTATGACCTGGTTAGATCGATTTAGCTTCACACACATACACAATACACAGAACAAAAATTTAATGCCCACCAAACTCAACGCCATTGAGTCAGTTCTGACTATAGTCACCCTATGAGACACAGTAGAACTGCCCCTGTGGGTTTCCAAGACTAAATCTTCATTCCTAACATGTCACCCACTACACCATCAGGGCTTCTTCAGCCTAATCCCTGAAAAATTAGGGGTGTGTCATTCTAAGTACATAGCTTAAAATTTGGTGTTTGAGATAAAAAGTACTGTTTTCTCCTTTGCTTGTGAAAATTGGGTTCATTTGTTTGATGATATCCAGCAAAGCAAGATTATGGTTGAAATTGGAGGGTGCCAATTATTGGTAGGTGCCATCTAGTGAATTCCAACCCATGGCTAATAGGAACTCTTAACTATAATGATGGCATGAAAAACTACAATAGGAATCTGTTCATACCCTATTAACTGCAATCTTCTTTTTAATGTAAATTCACAAGAATTACTTCATAATACTGCCTATAATGAAGGTCTGCCTTTTTAAACTGCCTTATACTTTGGCCATTTGGATCATTCATTATCCAAATAAAGTAAGATGGTTTCATGCTAGATTTTGTGCTTTAGAAAATAGAGCAGTGTCAAGGTTTGCTGCTGTACTTGAGATTTTGTGGTTCTTCATTGTATTGTCAGTTTTTGCTGTGATACCCCTCCATATTCCTGTTTCAAGATTGTGATTCGTTCTCTTGGCTAGTACTTGCAAATGTGTTTGTTTGCTTGTTTAGCTTTAGTGTGATAGTTTATTGACTGAGGTCTCATTGGGGAATGACAATTCTTGCTCTTCTTCCAATTAGTTTTGTGGGGTGGGATGGAGGTTTTCTGCTGTATAAGAAATACCACCAGGGATGACTTTAACTAACAGACATGTCTTTTCTCAGTTTAGGGAGCTGGAAGTGTGGATTTAGAGTGGGCCGTCTTTCTCAGCTCTGCAGGAAGGTCCTTGTCTCCTCAGCTTCCGCTTTGTGCTTCCCTGGAGGTCTACATGTGTCTTGCCCTTGCTCTCTTGCCGGCTCTCTGAGTTTGTTTAATCTTTTTATCAGAGATTTACTCAGGATATACCGTACATTAATTATAATTGTTCTCATTGACAAAGAAAACCCATTCCCCAATGGAAGTCGAACCATAGGCATAACCCACCCACCACCTTCAAGTCACCGTGACCCTGTAAGAAAAGAGTAGAACTGCTCTGGAGGGTTTCTGGGGTTATAAATCTTTACAGATGCACATTGCCTCAGCTTTCTCCCATAAAGGTAGTGGCTTCCAGCTGCTGACCTGCAATTAGCTGCTCAGTGTAACCCACCATGCCACCAGGGCTTCTACTACAGGCACCAAGTTTAGGATTTACAACAAATTGTTTGGGGACATAATTCAGTCTTTAACACCAGGATTCTGTTTGAAAAATAGCTCTTACTTTTGAACAATCACATGCTTACAGAAAATTTGGAAGTGCAGAATACAACTCTGTTTCTTTCAGAATACTTTAATGGCCTGTTGCCCTATCGCCCCAAAATATTTCACTGTGCACTTTTTTTTTTAAAACACTTTATTAGGGGCTCATACAACTGTTATTGCAATCCATACACACATCAATTGTGTAACGCGCATTTGTACATCATTCTCAAAACATTTTCTCTCCACTTAAACCCCCGACATTAGGTCCTCATTTTTCCCCTCGCTCCCCGCTCCCCCTACTGTGCACTTTTTACAAGCAAAAACTCTGTCTTACAAGATACAGCCATCAAAATCAGGCCATTTGATCCTGTTCTGCAGAGTTGCTATAAGGAAATTAACAGAGATACATTACTACCATCTAATCGTCAGATCCCGTCTAAGTTTCACCAAATGCCCCAAACCTTCAGAATCACATTTATTTAGTTGTTATTCTCCTTAGCCTTCTTCAGTCTAGAAGTTTTACGGTCTTTTTTCTATATCCAAAAAATTATTTTTCACTTTCACAACCTTGCTGCTCTCAAAGATTATAAAACTCACTTCCATCAAGTTGATGCCAACTCACAGCAACCTTCTATGACAGGGTAGAACTGCTGCTGTGAGTTTGTCTTTATAGGAATAGAAAGCCCCACCTGGTGGTTTCCAACTGTGGATCTGACCTTGCAGTTAGCAGCTCAATGTGTAACCACTATGCCACCAGGGCGCCTGCTCTCGAAGATTACAGGCTACTTATTTTGTAGACTAGCCCTCAATAGGGGCCAGTCTGATGTTTCTTCACAACTAGTTTCAGATGCTGCATCTTTGGCAGGAATAGCACAAAAGTGATGCTGTTATTACATCCCATTATGCCTGGTTACTGATGATACACACCTTGGTCATTTAATGAAGATTGGGCCTGCCAACCTTTTCCCTTCTAAAGTTACTCTTTCCTCTTTATATTAAGTATATTGTGAGGAAGTACTTCTGTTCCTCACCAGACTTTCAGTTTATTCATTTTTTTCTCTACCTGTATGCCTTTGTGGAATTAAAAGGTAAAACAACAATGACTTTATTGCTCACATTGTCCCTGGTTAAGCTGGTCCCTTGTCCCTGGACTCTTTACAAACTGAGAAAGAAAGAAAAGAAAATAGAACCCCCAAAGCACAGGTTTGTTTGTGTTTTAGGTACGCTTTATTGAAGTGTAATTTACATTCGATCCAATTCACCTTTTTTTAGGTATACAGTTTTACACAATAGAATCGCCACCCCAATCAACAGTTCTGAAACCCCCAAAAGTTCCCTCTTGCCCCTCCGTAATGATTCCACACCCTCTGTAATCAGTCTCCAGCCTGGTCTGCCGTTTTGCCTTTTCCAGAGTGGCCTATTGGTGCATCATATATAATGCGGAGTCTTTCAGGTCCTGCTCTCACTTAGCATCATTCATTTACGACTCGACCATGTGGTTAAATATATTCGTTTCCTAGGGCTGCCATTGTAAAGTACCATAAACTGGGTAGCTTAGAGCAACAGAAATGTATTGTTCCCACAGTTCTGGAGACCAGCAACCTGAAGTCCAGGGTCAGGGCCGTGCTCTCTGTGAAGACTCTAGGAAGAATCCTTCCTTGCCCCCATAGCTTCTGGTGGTTGCCGGCAAGCCTTTGGCTTGTAGCTGCATCACTTGTCATCTTCCCCTCTCCATCACATGCCCTTTCCCCCTGCGTAACTATGTCCAAATCTCCTTTCCTCTTCTAAGCACACCAGTCAATAGCCTTAAGGCCCACTCTCATCCAGTATGACCTCACCTTAATTTGATTACATGTGCAGACTCTGTTTCCAAATAAGGCCATGTTCCCAGGTACCTAGGGTTAGGACCTGAACATGTTTTTTGGGAGGGGAACACAAGTCAACACACTACTTGCAGTTATCAATAGTTCATCCTTTTTTATTGTCAGTAGCATTCTCGTATGAATATATTATCATTAAAAAAAAATCTTTCTGGGGCCCATTCCACCACCCCCACTTTTAATTAATTATGAATAAAACCACTGAAAGTATTTGCATTCACTTTTTGTGTAGTGCCTAGAAGTAGACCTGCTGAATCATAAAATAAGTATATGTTTAACTTTATAGGAAATCTTTAAGCTATTTTCCAAAGTGGCTGTACTGTTTCACATCCCCGTCAGCAATGTAGGAGAGTTCAGTCGGTTCAGCTTCATTGCCACTACTTGGTATTATGATTTTTAAAATGTTGATGATTTCAGTGCAAGTGTCATAGGATTTCACTGTGGTTTTAATTTGCATTTGCCTAACGACTGGCGATGTTGAGCCTCTTAGGTTTATTTGCTAACCTTATCTCTTCTCTGGTCTATCTCTTCAGTTTCCCACTTTTTATATTGAGTTGTTTGCCTTTATATTACTGAGTTGTGAGAGTTCTTTTTTTTTTAATCGTTTTATTAGGGGCTCATACAACTCTTATCACAATCCATACATACATCAATTGTGTAAAGCACATCTGTACATTCATTGCCCTCATCATTCTCAAAACATTTGCTCTCCACTTAAGCCCCTGGCATCAGCTCCTCAGAGTTCTTTATGTATTTTGTATACTCAGTCTTTTTCTGATATGTACTTTTCAAATATATTTTTCCCAGTCTGTGAATTGTCTCTCATTTTCTTAAGACTTGACAAGTAGACATTGTAAAATTTGAAGTTCAGTTTATCAGTTTAGCATTTTTATCCTTTGTGCTTTTTGTATCTCATCCAATAATTAATTATTTGCCTTATTCAA